TTTTTTTAATGCTTGTAATTTAACTCTGTCATTGCATATTTCTCTTTTTAAGATCTCACTCAGTTCCTTCTCTCTCATGTGTTCAACATTTCTCTTAAGCCCAGTGTTGAGAACTTTGGCTGTGACAGTGTCATCGATTTTTTCACAATTTTGTTCACAAACTGTCATCAGATTAGGCCAGTTCTGGATATAGTGCTCAAAACAGTCCACTACTGAGTTCCATCACGTCTTGTGGGAGAGTTAGCTTGGTTCCTCCCACTTCTTTCAGAGCAGCTGCTGCAAAGTAGTTGTTATGGAAGTATTTTGCAATTTCAACAACATTCGCCTTTATTTCTGGAACACTGAAATAAATGAGGTGCATCAAATGAGCACTGCAACCGTATGTTATTAGCTTGGGACTCTCTTCACTCTCTTCTAAATAATTTCTTCTCATTTTGGATATATTTGCAGCATTGTCTGTGACCAAGCTGCATACTAGACATTTGGATTTTTTTCCCCACAGTCTGTTATAGCTTTTACTGTTACTTCTTGTAAGTATTCTGCTGTGTGTGTGCATTTCCTGATGTATCAATTGTTTCAGTGAGGAAGATATTCCCTTCTTCTGTTGTCACACAAGCACATACAACAGGATAATTGTGGACATTGCTCCACCCATCAAGACTCAAGTTAACAATTTCACCCTCTAGACCTTTTTTCACACTGCTCAGTTTCTCTTTCATACCCTTTATGCAGCAATTTGCTGGTGACATCTGCTCTGTCGGGTGGACTTTATCCTGGTCTTAATGACTGAACTACATTAATGAAGTGTGGGTTCTCAATCATATGGAAAGGAGAGTTTGTTGCATAAACAAACCAGGCAATTTTCTTCATCAGTTAGCTCTTTTTGTAATCTGCTAGGTCTTATCACAAACTTATCTATGGTTGTTTCTGGGTGATGGAGGGTTGTTTTTTTTCCTTTTTGCTACAGGTGATATGCTGTGGCTATGTGACATACATGAGGTGACTGAAACACGATCATTGGCAGATAACTCTGAAACTATAGAAAATTATGGTGATCTTGAAGGTGGATAGTCTTCAGATTCCTGTATATTGAGGATGGATTTGCCTAAACAAAATAAGTCAGTGCAGTTATTTAATTACCATACTGCTCATTTAGTATTACTCATTGCATTCACTGGTTTCAGAGTAGCAGCCGTGTTAGTCTATATTCGCAAAAAGAAAAGGAGTACTTGTGGCACCTTAGAGACTAACCAATTTATTTGAGCATAAGCTTTCGTTAGCTTCCGATGAAGTGAGCTGTAGCTCACGAAAGCTTATGCTCAAATAAATTGGTTAGTCTCTAAGGTGCCACAAGTACTCCTTTTCTTATTGCATTCACTGACACTCAATACTACTTTAAAGGTGAAATTGTAAAAGGAAGATCTGCCTATTTCAGCTATTTATTTTTTATCACAACTGCATCTAAAATGATAGTACCATGGAGTAACAACTATATTTTTGGAAGTCCTTAGGAAAAAAGTATGAAATAAAAAAAAGTTTACCAACCTGAAGATCCTGCATGTTCAGACATGTTCCTTTCATCATCTTCAACGCAGCTTCCTCTGAGGTTGTTTCATTCTGGCAACTAGGCCAGGCATTTATTTGTTGCGCTGTTTGCATTTTGCACACATGCCTGTCTTACCCACAGGTAGAGGAACTCATTAAAATATCCCCCAAACTGGGTCTCTTCTATGGCCTGCTGCCATTATAGGTTTTCCCTTCTAGTGAGAGAATAGTATGCTAGATCTCAAATCAATAAAGGCTTCACGGAGAAAGACCTCAAGACTTCTGGAATATGCTGCTCAAACAGTTTCACTTTCGTTTCTACGGCCTGTCATAGAATTTCAGGGTTGGAAGGGACCTCAGGAGGTCATCTAGTCCAATCCCCAACTAAATCATCCCAGCCAGGGCTTTGTCAAGCCTGACCTTAAAAACTTCTAAGGAAGGAGATTCCACCACCTCCCTAGATAACGCATTCCAGTTTTTCACCACCCTCCTAGTGAAAAAGTTTTTCCTAATATCCAACCTAAATCTCCCCCACTGCAACTTGAGACCATCACTCCTTGTTCTGTCATCTGCTACCACTGAGAGCAGTCTAGATCCATCCTCTTTGGAACCCCCTTTCAGGTAGTTGAAAGCAGCTACCAAATCCCCCCTCATTCTTCTTTTCCGCAGAATAAACAATCCCAGTTCCCTCAGCCTCTTCTCATAAGTCATGTATTCCAGTCCCCTAATCATTTTCGTTGCCCTCCGCTGGACGTTTTCCAATTTTTCCACATCCTTCTTGTAGTGTGGGGCCCAAAACTGGACACAGTACTCCAGATGAGGCCTCACCAATGTCGAATAGAGGGGAACGATCTCGTCCCTTGATCTGCTGGCAATGCCCCTACTAATACATCCCAAAATGCCATTGGCCTTCTTGGCAACCAACGGCACACTCTTGACTCATATCCAGCTTCTCGTCCACTGTAACTCCTAGGTCCTTTTCTGCAGAACTGCTGCCGAGCCATTCGGTCCCTAGTCTGTAGCGGTGCATGGGATTCTTCTGTCCTAAGTGCAGGACTCTGCATTTGTCCTTGTTGAACCTCATCAGATTTCTTTTGGCCCAATCCTCTAATTTGTCTAAGGCCCTCTGTATCCTATCCCTACCCTCCAGCGTATCTACCTCTCCTCCCAGTTTAGTGTCATCTGCAAACTTACTGAGGGTGAAATCCACACCATCCTCCCGATCATTTATGAAGATATTAACAAAACCGGCCCGAGGACCGATCCTTGGGGCACTCCACTTGATACCAGCTGCCAACTAGACATGGAGTCGTTGATCACTACCCGTTGAGCCTGACAATCTGGACAACTTTCTATCCCCCTTATAGTCCATTCATCCAGCCCATACTTCTTTAACTTGCTGGCAAGAATCCTGTGGGAGACCGTGTCAAAAGCTTTGCTAAAGTCAAGGAACAACACGTCCACTGCTTTCCCCTCATCCGCAGAGCCAGTTATCTCGTCATAGAAGGCAATTAGATTAGTCGGGCATGACTAGCCCTTGGTGAATCCATGCTGTCTGTTCCTGATCACTTTCCTCTCCTTTAAGAGCTTCAGAATTGATTCCTTGAGGACCTGCTCCATGATTTTTCCAGGGACTGAGATAAGGCTGACTGGCCTGTAGTTCCCAGGATCCTCCTTCTTCCCTTTTTTAAAGATGGGCACTACATTAGCCTTTTTCCAGTTGTCTGGGACTTCCCCCAATCGCCATGAGTTTTCAAAGATAATGGTCAGTGGCTCTGTCCCTCCCTTCTTGCATTTATCTCCAGACTTCTTCTCTTTGTTGGTGGGGGAATAGATCTGGACAATCTTCTATTCATTGAACTTTTTGAAACTTCGCACTTTTAGAGAGAGGTAAGGGATTGACTCTGTGTACACAAATTTGCAGAGGGACAATAGGGTTGAGGGCTGTTATTTCTCACCTCTATATTTTATTTATTTAAAAACATTTTTGCTGTGAACAAGCATTTTATCTCTTGAGACACAAATCCACAATTTGACAACTTCAAAACTAAGCATCTCTGATGGTATCTTTTAGACTGAGCACTGAGTCCCATTGGGTAGATAGAAAGATTAACCAAAATAATCTATACAGAAGCCCCTGGAACCCTATAAGATTGGGTCCCTAATCCATGAACTACTGGAACTCATTTACAAAACTTTTCTTAAACATTACATGAATATATTGTATCATACTATAGAATTAGAATTTATAATCCATATTCCATGATGAGATATCTTTGAGCTATTAATGTATCTATCTTTAGATAGGTTTTTGAGGAAAAAAACATTTTATCAAAAAAATATGATTTAAATAAAAAATCCAATTTTTTAAATTTTTTTTTTAAAAAGCAGTGATTTTTATCTACCCTGCAAGCTTTTAAACTTTGAGTTTCACATGTTAAAATATTAAAACAGTGCGGTTTTAGGCTGTTAATTCTGATTTGATATTTACAGAAAGTTCAGTAAAAAGGCAAAGATAAATATTACCTTGTTCACAGGCTGAAAGGAAAAGCTCCAATAGCTGCATGCTAGTTTGAGGATTCTGAAAAATCTAACCACAAGAAACTATAAATGTTAAATTAATCTGTTTGGATTAAACTACATCTATTGTCTTCATGATAGTACACTACGTATAGATTTATTACATGCAAAAAAGTTACATTAAAAGAATATTATGGTTGTAATGTCAAGCACTCAAAAGCCAAGGAAATTCCAGAATTAAAGTTGCCTGTGCATCTTTGATTTGGCCCCCTTGTACACAGCCATTATGAAAATTACATGCTCTGTTATATCTTTCCATATGATCTCTACTTCAGTGGAAGCATAGTTATTCATTATTTATCTGTATCCTCGTCAATACGTGACCCCAGGTCTTAAATACATACCATTTAAACCATGCACCAAATAAGAAGTTGTTAGTTTCTTCTTGGGTGTTTACATCATGCTTTCACCATGGTAACTGAATGCTTCTTAGACAATGAATTGATCTTCAGAACACTCATATGAAATTAGGTGGTCATATTATCCTCTTTTCACAGATGGCAGAACTGAGGCACAAAATGTCTAAGGTCAAGATTTCAAGAGTGTCCACTAATTTTGGATGCTCAACTTGAGATGCCTAAGGCCTGATATTTCAGAGTACTAAGCATTTTTGACACTTTGTATATTCAAAGCACAGTCCCTATTGACTTCACTTGTGAGTGCTCGGCACTTCTGCAGATCTGGCCCCAGGAGTCTCAGGTTGGGCTCTCAAAAATGAGGAGCATACAATTAGTGGCTCCCTTTGGAAAATTTTAGTTTGAGTGACTTGCCCAGCAGCCTGAAGGAATAGTGTGGCAGAGGCAGGAATAGAATCTAGTTCTCTGGGATGACATTCAACATGAATAACCAGAAGATCATCATCTCTCTTCTTGCAGTCCCCTGCCTCATTCACTGCACAATTTCCAGGAGGTTGGTTGCACCAGAATGAGAGACTTCCTGGACTATCATCAGAGGGACTGAGTGGACCCCATTGTGCTCAGACAGCCAGGGGTTGCCTACCCTGTGTGTCCTCCATCATATGCTCCAGAAGGTGAGGGCAGCCTTACCTCCCACTTCTCTCTTTCCTGGAGTGGATCCTGTAGGTAGGTGCTCCCTACCCACTGCTTACCTCTGGCCCTCCAGAATTAGACATCAGACCCCTGTCCCATGAGCCTCCCACCCAACCTGAGCTGGCTGAATGACATTCAGCTGTATCACCTCCAAACCATACCAAGGAAATATGTGTATGCACTTGTGCTTCATACTATCCATTTCATTGCCCTCATGTCTACCCCTACCCTACCTCCCTGACAGTAAGTGGTGGGACTTGCTGCCACCTGAGGAGAGGAGGTAACCTAGTGGTCCAGCCTATATTCCATTCTGGTCCATGGCCTACCAGGGATATCAGTTGGTGGCTCCTCCATGAAGCCATAAGCATGGGCGTGTAGATGGTGCAGTTCATGAACTCCCCCAACACCTGTCCTGTCTGCAGTGATAGGGAGAGCCTGGCACACATCTACATATGGTGTGTCAGATTGCAGCCCCTCTCCTCTGTTACAGAGGTTCTGGCTGCACTTGTCCCCACACTTCCCGATCCTTGCAAACCCCATCCATTGCCCCACAAAGGTGCAAGACCTCCTTATGAACTTCCTGGTACTGGCAAGATTGCCATCCATCATACCAGGAGGAAGAATCTGGACAGGGCTCTGCAACTGTGGGGACTATTTCCAGTCCCTTGTGAAGTCATGTCTTCAGGCAGAGTTCCTCTAGGCCAGTGGTTCTAAACCAGGGGTACACAGAGGCCTTCCAGGGGGTACATCAACTCATCTAGATATTTGCCTAGTTTTCCAACAGGCTACATAAAAAGCACTAGCAATTTTTCAGTAATAGTGTGCTGTGACACTTGTGTATTTTTATGTCTGATTTTTTTAAGCAAGTAGTGTTTAAGTGAGGTGAAACTTGGGATATGCAAGACAAATCAGATTCCTGAAAGGGGTACAGTAGTCTGGAAAGGTTGAGAGCCACTGCTCTGGGCAGTGTCCACTGACTCCTTAGATGCCTTTGAGGAGCAGTGGGCACTGTCTGGGGTTCTCTGTTCAGTGTCCCCTTCCAGTTCCTGGATTTTCAGCCTTTGATCTTCACTCCCATCCCTGTTTTTTCATTTGTTGTCCCCAGTATATACTTGGGGCCCAGATTCACTGGTTTCTCCCAGATAAGAGGCAGGGCCTTTAACTGAGGGCAGGCTTAGGGCCGCCATTTCCCAGCAATCACAATAGGTACACACTTTCCAGCTTCTGCTACAAACAGCCTCCATTATTACACAGCCCTGATTCATCCCCCGAGCAGATCCATGCAGTGCACCGAATGAGGCAGGGTTTCTGTGCTGCAGATCCATGCATATGTACATGATCGCTGAATTAAGGATGCACAAACTACCTTAATCCTGGTGTTTCCTGACTTCTGAATACTTGACTTTGCAACCGTAAAGTTTAAGTGTAGTTTCTTGGAAGATCATAGACTAGATGGTTCTTTTTAAAAGTCTTAAGACATTCTGTAACATAGAACCATATAGTCTTCACATAGTTCATCAGGAGGGTTCAGACTACAGTACTTGAGATAATGCAGCAACTGATGTAATAATATGCTGTTATCCTCTGGACTACCACTAGGGGGAGATGAGAAACACTGTGCCAGTGGGTTTCAGAGCTATTTGCTGACAACCCACGGATACAGACTCAGGACTTCTGGGTTCAATTCCAGAGGAGTGTTCTATTTTGGTTATATAGAATTCTGCTCTTATTCTCCCCCCACCCCCATGTCTCCCTCTGATACTGTATAACCCACCCTACATTCCCTCAGCCTCTCATGCTTTAGGGATATCAGATTGTCTATTTTAATACAGGTGAAGGCCATAGCAAGAAGATTGCAAAACACAGAGCTGCAGAAGCTGCCTTGAATGTTTTGAAAGGAAATCCAAGTATTGGGTGAGTTAGGTGTTGCTGTATTGTACTGCACAAAATTTCATTGCTGCTCTAAAAATGGCATTCAAAGAAGCTCTGAAGACCAAAAAAAATAAAATAAAAAAATACTGTCAGTTCAGCAGTTGGAAGACTTCATTTTCTTTTTGAGGAAAGTCTTTTCTAATTTAAGTCTAAAAACTGACTCTCTCTCAAACTTTCTAATGTTACCTTTTCTGTAATCTGGATTCTTGTATTTCATTCTTTTCCTAGTGAAACTGTCTAAGATGAAGTGGGGCTAATGTATTTTTTCAGGTGCTATTTCTGTTGCATGATAGTGTACTGTATAATTTGAAGCACTTATATAGGTGGCTTTTACATCAAAAACATTCTTTAACAAAAAAATTACATGATTATAGTATAATAATAAATAATAATAATAATAAAAGGCACCGCATATATATTCAGTTTTTACTATTTTCTCTGTATAACTGGTCAATCCACTATTTGTGTGGTTCTCCTCCCCTCCCCGACACACACAGCCATGGAAGAGAGAAAATGACATGTTTAAAATAAATATCCACAAGTTGCCAGGGGACACATTAATATCAGGTGTATCTGGCTCTAAAGTTTTAAATCTCAAATAATTACGATATAGTATTTTCCACACGTGAGAAGATGGGGATTTAGCCTTGGACACTAATCATGCAAAGATTTCAATGGGACTACTCACGTGTAAAATTAAGTGTATGCATTAGTGTTTAGAGGATTGGGTGCATAGGTTATTAATGGATTAGTGCCTAATTTATGTCCCTCTTAAGCAGTTTTAACTTAAAATTGTCAGTTTAAAAAAAAAAAAAGTTAAACTATTTTAGTCTTTCAGTGCCAGACTCCATAGTTCCAGATTCTCCAAAGCAACCACAAAATCAGACCAATCCTATAGGTACATTACAGGTAAGATGTAACCTTTTTTGCATTTTAAGACCATCATGCTATATAGTTCAGGTATGTGTATAAAAATGTTCCTTACAAGAAATGAATATTGGATAAGCCTGAATTTAAAATATATGCTGGTTCTTAGAAACTAAACTAGCAGCTAGCTACTTTTTGAACTTTTTTTTTTTTTTTTTTTTTTGTAGTTACAGAAAGCAGCATAGACAGCCCAGAGCAAGTAGTACAGGTCAGAAAAGAGCAACAACTAATTTTGTTCACTGCAGGAAAGCATGTAGAGAGCCAGCAGTAGTAAAAATATGAAATGTGTATGTAACTAACTTTACTGTTATAAGTATGCTTAAATCCAGTTAATACTGTCAAAATAAAAACATGGTGTGAACAGATTTAGACATGAAAATTTGGCTTCCTATACTATAAGATTTTCTTTAAAATGTTCACAAAGCTGGTTGAAATTGGAGACCCATAGACAACATATTTAGAGGATTATTTTTAATGTGTTCTGATGAATTTAAGGTGTTCTGTATTTCTGAAATTTGGAGTGTTTATGGAAGAAGGGGAACAGAATGTTATGTACAAAATCTTCCCATTTAAATAATGTTTCATGTCTGCTTTGTTTGGCATTTTCATATGAAACATTTAATGCATGTGTGTATTAACTGTGATACTAAGTGCTAAAGTTATAACACTGTAGGGTGAACCCTGGAGGTCTAAATACAGAGTGCTGTGTGCTCTGCCTCCAATCCAACAAAGTACTCAGCCACATATGCCTTGCTGGATTGGGGCTAGAGTGCTCAATGCCTTGAGGGATTGAGCCCAGACACCAACCCTGAAGACAGTTTTGCATGTGCTTTAAGCATAAGTAGTCTCATTGAGTTTGACGGGGTTTCATATTAAGTGAAACTGTTTGCAGTGTTTTGACCTAAGTTTACTTGCATGGCTCTGAAGAATCTCATGGTTCACCAATGACTAGTTGTAAGTAAGAATCAAAACCTGAAAGTCGCCTACTGGACATGAGATTTGGGTGCTTTTGTTTAATTTTTTCCCCATAGACATATTTAAGGTGGAAAGGTACAGAAAACTTAGCTTAAGACATGCACTTCCCTTAACAACAACAGTTTTCATTAATGAATAAATCCTTGATGACACATTTCTTGACCATTGTTTTTAAAGACAAATAAATGTAGTCAAATTGTTTTTCTCTCACACACACTCACAGCCCTTTCATCTGCTTTAAAATATTCAGTTTATGTACCATTCTGCTCTTCAAGAGATATAACATAGAAACTTTAGTTGAAAGGCATGTCTTACTACCAGGTCAAAAAGAAAAACTCACTGACCGCATGATTACTCTGGAGCTATGTTTTTATTTTAATGCTGTTGGTACAGTATTGCATGATGTGATATGTTCAGTCACTAGTTTTGTTAAGTTTCAGAGGAACAGCCGTGTTAGTCTGTATTCGCAAAAAGAAAAGGAGTACTTGTAGCACCTTAGAGACTAACCAATTTATTTGAGCATGAGCTTTCGTGAGCTACAGCTCACTTCATCAGATGTATACCGTGGAAACTGCAGCAGACTTTATATATACACAGAGAATATGAAACAATACCTCCTCCCACCCCACTGTCCTGCTGGTAATAGCTTATCTAAAGTGATCATCAGGTGGGCCATTTCCAGCACAAATCCAGGTTTTCTCACCCTCCACCCCCCCACACAAATTCACTCTCCTGCTGGTGCTAGCCCATCCAAAGTGACAACTCTTTACATAATCAAGTCGGGCTATTTCCTGCATAAATCCAGGTTTTCTCACATCCCCCCCACCCCCATACACACACAAACTCACTCTCCTGCTGGTAATAGCTCATCTAAACTGACCACTCTCCAAGTTTAAATCCAAGTTAAACCAGAACATCTGGGGGGGGGGGGGGGGTGTAGGAAAAAACAAGAGGAAACAGGCTACCTTGCATAATGACTTAGCCACTCCCAGTCTCTATTTAAGCCTAAATTAATAGTATCCAATTTGCAAATGAATTCCAATTCAGCAGTTTCTCGCTGGAGTCTGGATTTGAAGTTTTTTTGTTTTAAGATAGCGACCTTCATGTCTGTGATTGCGTGACCAGAGAGATTGAAGTGTTCTCCGACTGGTTTATGAATGTTATAATTCTTGACATCTGATTTGTGTCCATTTATTCTTTTACGTAGAGACTGTCCAGTTTGACCAATGTACATGGCAGAGGGGCATTGCTGGCACATGATGGCATATATCACATTGGTGGATGTGCAGGTGAACGAGCCTCTGATAGTGTGGCTGATGTTATTAGGCCCTGTGATGGTGTCCCCTGAATAGATATGTAGGCACAATTGGCAACGGGCTTTGTTGCAAGGATAAGTTCCTGGGTTAGTGGTTCTGTTGTGTGGTATGTGGTTGTTGGTGAGTATTTGCTTCAGGTTGCGGGGCTGTCTGTAGGCAAGGACTGGCCTGTCTCCCAAGACTTGTGAGAGTGTTGGGTCATCCTTTAGGATAGGTTGTAGATCCTTAATAATGCGTTGGAGGGGTTTTAGTTGGGGGCTGAAGGTGACCGCTAGTGGCGTTCTGTTATTTTCTTTGTTAGGCCTGTCCTGTAGTAGGTAACTTCTGGGAACTCTTCTGGCTCTATCAATCTGTTTCTTTACTTCTGCAGGTGGGTATTGTAGTTGTAAGAAAGCTTGACAGAGATCTTGTAGGTGTTTGTCTCTGTCTGAGGGGTTGGAGCAAATGCGGTTGTATCGCAGAGCTTGGATGTAGACGATGGATCGTGTGGTGTGGTCAGGGTAAAAGCTGGAGGCATGCAGATAGGAATAGCGGTCAGTAGGTTTCCGGTATAGGGTGGTGTTTATGTGGCCATTGTTTATTAGCACTGTAGTGTCCAGGAAGTGGATCTCTTGTGTGGACTGGACCAGGCTGAGGTTGGTGGTGGGATGGAAATTGTTGAAATCATGGTGGAATTCCTCAAGGGCTTCTTTTCCATGGGTCCAGATGATGAAGATGTCATCAATATAGCGCAAGTAGAGTAGGGGCTTTAGGGGACGAGAGCTGAGGAAGCGTTGTTCTAAATCAGCCATAAAAATGTTGGCATACTGTGGGGCCATGCGGGTACCCATAGCAGTGCCGCTGATCTGAAGGTATACATTGTCCCCAAATGTGAAATAGTTATGGGTAAGGACAAAGTCACAAAGTTCAGCCACCAGGTTAGCCGTGACATTATCGGGGATAGTGTTCTTGACGGCTTGTAGTCCATCTTTGTGTGGAATGTTGGTGTAGAGGGCTTCTACATCCATAGTAGCCAGGATGGTGTTATCAGGAAGATCACCGATGGATTGTAGTTTCCTCAGGAAGTCAGTGGTGTCTCGAACAAATCAGATGTCAAGAATTATAACATTCATAAACCAGTCGGAGAACACGTCAATCTCTCTGGTCACGCAATCACAGACATGAAGGTCGCTATCTTAAAACAAAAAAACTTCAAATCCAGACTCCAGCGAGAAACTGCTGAATTGGAATTCATTTGCAAATTGGATACTATTAATTTAGGCTTAAATAGAGACTGGGAGTGGCTAAGTCATTATGCAAGGTAGCCTGTTTCCTCTTGTTTTTCCTACACCCCCCCACCCCCAGATGTTCTGGTTTAACTTGGATTTAAACTTGGAGAGTGGTCAGTTTAGATGAGCTATTACCAGCAGGAGAGTGAGTTTGTGTGTGTATGGGGGTGGAGGGGATGTGAGAAAACCTGGATTTATGCAGGAAATAGCCCGACTTGATTATGTAAAGAGTTGTCACTTTGGATGGGCTAGCACCAGCAGGAGAGTGAATTTGTGTGGGGGGGTGGAGGGTGAGAAAACCTGGATTTGTGCTGGAAATGGCCCACCTGATGATCACTTTAGATAAGCTATTACCAGCAGGACAGTGGGGTGGGAGGAGGTATTGTTTCATATTCTCTGTGTATATATAAAGTCTGCTGCAGTTTCCACGGTATACATCTGATGAAGTGAGCTGTAGCTCACGAAAGCTCATGCTCAAATAAATTGGTTAGTCTCTAGGTGCTACAAGTACTCCTTTAGTTTTGTTAATTGATTCTCTATTTTAAGCAGGCTGGCCTTGCCAAATCAGTACTATAATTTGGATAATCATATTAAAATATGAAATAAAAAGAATTGAAATTAATAGCTCAGAATGATTAAAGAAGGAATTGGCACTTAGTCAGGGCTTAAAGTTTCAAGTTTGACTAAACAGCTGAGATTCAAGCTGGTTTTTAACTTTTCTGAACAGGACCAGGTCCATCTCTCTTACATGGCACTCTAAATCCTGCCAGCCTGAAGTGTGAGTGCTGAGGATCAGACACCCTACAAAACCACCCTATGTCTTTTCATTTTTAGACAGGGTTTTAGGCTAACACAGCTCTTTAAAATGTAACTTACTAGTGTTTTGGGGTTTTTTTACATGTGCTGCTAGTATTGGCAAATACCAGAACAGAACACGTTTCAGAGTAGCAGCCATGTTAGTCTGTATTCGTAAAAAGAAACGGAGTACTTGTGGCACCTTAGAGACTAACAAATTTATTCGAGCATGAGCTTTCGTGAGCTACAGCTCACTTCATCGGATGCATTCAGTGGAAAATACAGTGGGGAGATTTATATACATAGAGAACATGAAACAATGGGTGTTACCATACACACTGTAAGGAGAGAGTGATCACTTAAGGTGAGCTATTACCAGCAGGAGAGTGGGGGGGGCACCTTTTGTAGTGATAATCAAGGTGGGCCATTTCCAGCAGTTGACAAGAACGTCTGAGGAACAGTGGGGGGTGGAAATAAGCAAGGGGAAATAGTTTTACTTTGTGTAATGACTCATCCACTCCTAGTCTCTATTTAAGCCTAATTTAATTGTATCCAGTTTGCAAATTAATTCCAATTCAGCAGTCTCTCCTTGGAGTCTGTTTTTGAAGGGTTTTTTTGAAGAATTGCAACTTTTAGGTCTGTAATCAACTGACCAAAGAGATTGAAGTGTTCTCCGACTGGTTTTTGAATGTTATAATTCTTGACATCTGATTTGTGTCCATTTATTCTTTTACGTAGAGACTGTTCAGTCTGACCAATGTACATGGCAGAGGGGCATTGCTGGCACATGATGGCATATCACATTGGTAGATGTGCAGGTGAACGAGCCTCTGATAGTGTGGCTGATTGTGATCAGGCGCTATGATGGTGTCCCCTGAATAGATGTGTGGACACAGTACTTTGACTTCTGGTAAAAGTGTCCTTTTAGGTAACTTATATCCTTGTGTTTTCCCACATCAATATATTGTGCTCTTCAAGCTATTACTGAAATATTTTCAGTGTTATGGCGGTAAATGTGTTTGAAATATGGACCGATGAGTTTTGCTAAGCAGTGGTGGTAGCTGTTTGAATGGGATGTTTAGAGACAGAACAAAGCAGAATCTTTTTTTATTAGTCAGGTCTAACTTCTGTTTCTCTAGGAACTGGCTGTTCAGAAGGGATGGAGACTTCCTGAATATTCACTTGCACATGAATCGGGGCCTCCTCACAAGCGAGAGTTTACAATGACTTGCAGAATAGAAACGTTTGTAGAAACTGGTATATATATATATATATTTTTTTTAAAAAATCAACACAAAACGTAGCAAATTTAGAATGTGGTCAGTTTCCATAGCAGTCCCTAATGAATTGTGAGTGTTGGCCTCCCTCCCCCCCATTTAAAAATCTTAATATTGTACCTATCGGTTCTTTTTTAAAGCAAATTCATGACATACAAAATGCATCATTGGCACTCTTAAAATATTTGCTATTAACCTTTGGACAGTGAGGATACATTTTCAGTTCCCTAACATTAAGGAAGAGACCATTTTAAAAAAAATGTTCCATTATTTAACTTGAAAATGCTGGAAGCTATGGTGTTAACTTTGAAAATACAGACTTGCAGTGCTTTTAAATATTAGGATAAGTGATATTCTGCATGACAGTTCTGTCCTATTACCTCGAAATTGGCAAGAGACTGCGCGAATACATTGCACTGATATCCTAAATAGTGTTTGTACATAAGACTTTAAATCAAGCAATTTAAATGTTGCATCTAAAACATTTCTCAATGCAACAGAAATTGTTGAATGATACCTCCCAGTGTATTGAAGTAAAATATTCCATTTGAAGTTAGCAACATACTGTGCAAATACATAGTAGTTCTATTTCAACAAGTATTTGCTGAATGACATTCATGCATTATGTATGTTGAAGAACCTGCAAAAATTTTGCATTGGTACTTAACTCCCTTGTAAACTCTTGAGCAAATTCTATACTTGTAACTGTAAAGTTATTCTTGACCAGCCTTTCCAACCTAGTGACCAGCATTTGGTTAGCTGCAAATAACCCATCCTCAAATGAGATTGTTTTGTAATTTTTTGGTGGAGGGGAGGACTCCCTGGTTGTGCTTAGTGACATTCTGATATAGAATTTAGGCTTTGAGAAGTTATGGGAAGGGGTTGGTGAGGAGAGGAAGCAGTTTGAAATACTTAGTGCAAGACACTGAATCTTCCTCCTCAGAACAGGTATTAACCTCCAGCTTTGAAGCTCAGTAGTAATGATAGAGGCAAATAACTGTATCTGGCCCTAAGTTTTTAAATGCTTAATGTGTTATCTTACAGCTGAGAAATTGGAGGTTTACTTTCTTTTAATGGAGTCTATGGGAGAATCCTGCTCTTTAAATTACTATAAAATACATTCTAAACCCTGTTTCCTTAGTGTACTTCATAAGACTAGATCAGACAAATTCTCTAGGAACCTGAATACCTGTAACCATCAGTGGTTAACAATATTGCATTTACAGGGAGACTTGCAGATTGAATTCAAGTCAGGTGGATTGCTCAATGATTTGGGTCACCCATTTAACCCCTAAACAGGTAGCTAATGATCAAAATGTTGCTATCTGATGTCTCTTTGGTGGTCTACATGAAGTGAGTTGATTTTAGTCTAGTTCTTAGTGAACAGGTATCCTCCATCAGAAAACCATTACCATTGCAATTATTAACTGGCACCAATATTGGCAGAGTGTCCCAGATTAACTGGACTTATAGACTGAAGTGTTCTTTCACTACAGGAGGTGATCCCTTCAGTTTATAACTGACTTATTCTGGAAGAACAATGTGAAAACTTGCACAATTTCACATCTTCTTCCTGTTCTGAGTACTAATAGAAGGCTTCTGTTCTCTTAACTAAGTACCTTTCAGTTGTATTACAATTCTTTCAAAAGAAGGAAAATGTGAGTAAGAGTAAGCTGCAAGAGTGTTTGTGTCAAGATATTATTTAAAATGTTTTATAATAGTGAATCTATTTGTGGAACCCAAACACATCTAAAGACCAAATTCTGCTTATCTACAGATTGGATAATCAACAAGCTGTAGTAATTCAGGAACTCAGTGTTGCAGCAATGTGCCCCCAATGCTAGTCCACTAGCAACAGGATTGAAGTCAGTTTATTTCACATAAGCCTTCAAACAGCAGTCAGATAGTAACAATTTATTTCTTACTGTTTATGGTAAATTTGAACCAGCAACCTACAGATGAATTATCCGTCCTCTGAGCCACTAAGTCCACCTCCATGCATTTTTCTCTTGTTAATACTGTTTGGTTTTGTTTCTTTATGCAGGGACTGGGACATCTAAGAAACTAGCAAAGCGAAATGCTGCTGAAAGATTACTTGCCAAATTCCACAGGTTCCCTCCAGATAGCATCAATATTTCCTTAGTAAGTAATGGGCAGAGCAGCATAAGTGCCATAAATCCTGTCAGACAATTCAAACAATGACAAAACTAACAAAATATCGTCAGACACTTTCATTATCACAAAGTTTTATGCCATGTTCCTATTTCTAGATGGACCCAAAAGCTCTGGGCTATCATCCAAATTTTGCATCAGATTATTAATAGGACATTGGTGGAAGAGACTATATAAGGACAGCCACCGTTAAAAGTAGGATTTTTCTCTGTGCTACTCTTATTAATTGGCTTCAAATAACCCATCCTGCTATTTTGGGAGGGAGAAAAAGAGCTATGTTATAGGTAGATATCCTTTTTCATAATGTCAAATGAGGGTATCAAACAGGGATAATTTTTATTTGACCAGTAACATAAGGGAGTTCTGGGAGCAGGGATCTGAAAAAGTGGGAGAGCGGAAATAAAGTCCAAAAAGTAAAATAAGTGAGTAGTGTTTTTGAATCTGTTTGCTTACTACAATAATAAATTATAATACCTTGACACAGACAACGCATGCTGGTGAAATATAAGTATTTGCCCACTTAAGTGATTGGAAAACATAATAAAAATACAAGACACGGTGGCCTATTAAAGTGTACCTTCTGGGATATACTAGGTTTGTTCACACTAAATTTGCATGGCATATCTAGGGTATCAAGGAGGCCATCAGGCAGCTGCTGCTGGCAGCTGCATATGCTTTGCTTTCCCCAAGCAGCAATACACATCACTTCGTTCAATGGTATTGTCTGCACACTTTCTTGTAACAGGCACTGTGGAGGAAGCAGCCATGCAAGAGGCATAGAACACAGGGTCAGACCAGTTTACAGGGAGTGGAGAGATGAGGTTGGCTGAAAAGAGGGAGAAGGCACCAAGTGTGCTTGTTGAGAGAAGAGGAGCAAATATAGGGGAAAAAATTAAAAATAAAGAATGGGAGACAGGGAGAACACAGGCAAAAAGAAAGACAGTTGTAATCAGGCCAAAACATAGCATAAGGAATAGGATAGCGGGCAGTCAGGCACCAGTCCATCACTGGGGCAGTTGAACAAAAAAGCTGGGAATCACTGACACACTATCTAAAGGTGCTGTGTGGAAGTTTGCATTTTCTGTGTTTTTGTAGATTAAAGTGAATATTGCATGCTTTTTTTGTTGTTGTTGCTGAACAGCATTAATATATAAACACAAATCTAAACCCTCTTCAAATGTTTTCAGGGAAATGAAATGGGAAATAATTTAGGATACACATGGGATGCCTTAAGGAACTCATCCGAAGAAAAAATTACCTTGCTGAAGAAAAGTCCACTCAGTATTCCTAATACAGACTATGTCCAACTACTTGGAGAAGTTGCAGAAGAACAAGGTTTTGTTATAACATATTTGAATATAGGTATGTTAGTATTGTAATACATGAAGGATACATTCCTCCTCTCTGAGCCACACTTAAGCAAAACATGCAGTGATGTTAAATGGCAGCTCTGCTCATACAGCATAAAGGAAAACTTTGCCCTAAGACTCCAAGCCTGCAATTCATATATGTGAGCATATAATTCACATGCAGCTCTACCGAAATCATGGTTTGCCCACGAGTCTGATTGGAACCTAAATTACTATAACTACAGAGGCATCCAAGCCTAGATTTTTCCATTATTTATGGCTAAGGCTATGATTTAGTCAGGTATTTTTAGTAAAATTCATGGACAGGTCACGGGCCTGTGAATTTGTGTATTGCCTGTGACCTGTCCATGAATTTTACTAAAAATACCCATGACTAAATCTTAAGTGGGTCACTGCTGGGGGGTGCCAGGACTGCTGCTGGGGCGTGGGGGAGGGCAGGCATGGCACCAGCTGCTGGGACTGCCGGCAGTGACTGCACCAGCTGCCCGGGCACTGCCTCTGGTAGTGGCTGCACCGGCAGCCCGAGCTCCGCGCTGGGGGCTGCCCAGGGAAACGGCCATTCCAGCTGCCTGGGGACTGCCAGCAGCGGCTGCACCAGCCACCCAGGGACCACTGCTCAGGCGGTTCCTGGAGCCAGCTGCACCAGCCACTTCTCAAGCAGTCCCCAGGGTTAGCTTCCCGGGGATGCCCGAGCAGTGGCCAGTGCTGCAGCGTCTGACTGCGGGGTGACTTTAGCAGTGACCGGGGTAGCTGTCCCCATGGCCACCTGACCAGCTGGCTCTGGAGCCACATGTTTGGGTGGCCCCGGGGTCAGCCACACTGGCCCCCGCAAAAATCATGGAGATAGCGGAATCTGTGACTTCCGCAACCTCCATGACAAACACTGAGCCCTATATATGGCTATGAACTTAAGAGCCAAAGACTTTCACATCCCCACTTACTATGATTTCAGAAGTTTGGAATCTAGCTGGAATTGTAAATTTTCCCTTCCTTTCTGTTATTCTGGTTGTCATTTCTCTTTTTAAATCTCATGTTCTCCCTCCTCCCTTGTGTTACCACCACTTGAGTTGTGACAACCTTGTAACTAGGAAAAGCAGATACAATCTTGTGTGGTATCTAATACCACTCTTTTTTTATTGCATTATTAAGATGAAAAACATATATGCAGTCTGGACTAGACAGACACTTGGCAATGTACATACTATTCTTAACCTCCAAATAGAGATGTCCTGATTAATAAGAAATTATGATGGTACCAAAAAGTGTTAGCTTTGATAATGCAGGGTAAGATTGATTAAAATCTTAGCTCACATTTTAGTGATATCTAGTAACTAATTTACAAGTATCTAGCACAGCTGCTATTCTAAAAGTTAGAATTTTGCAAAATATTTGACACCTACACAGTTAATATTTCCAATAATTCTTTCAAATGTTACTAGCAAAATAACTATACATGCTGCACAGCAGGAACAGAAAGGTGGATGGATCATTCAAGAGTATAGTCGACATTCTGTTCTATCCTTCATAAACTTTCCATCCATAAGTGTTTTGGAAATTAATTCTGTATAATGAGTGACTAAAAGTCAGTGTGGTTGTATAAGTGATTTTAATACATGTCACTTGGAAAAATTTGGGGGAAATAAGGGAAGTTGTGCAATAACTTATACAAGGCGTAATGTTGAGCTAATCATTGTTTGCTTATTTGATTTCAGAGGAGCTGAGTGTGAATGGACAGTACCAATGTCTTGCTGAACTCTCAACCAATCCAGTCACAGTTTGCCATGGTACTGGGATTTCTTGGGGCAATGCTCACAACGACGCCGCTCACAATGCATTACAGTATTTAAAGATCATGGCTGGAAGAAAATAAACTTGAAATAGAAAAATATCTTCTGCTAAAGATTTAACTTAAAAGATATTTCCAAAGTTGGATGTTCTCATATATGTAGTTCAAATTTATTTTGGGCTATTTTTAAGTCACTCCACAAATACCATTTTAATTATTCATTACTTTGAAATGAGTCAGTTATCATAAGGTTTTCATTTTGGATTGGTTTACAGTATTTAGCTCTCAGTATTGTAAAGCAGTGAGGACATTAAATTACTGCTTGCATACTTACTGAAGCATAAACACTCCCTTATGGAAAACCTGTAGGGAGAATTATAAATTTGATACCAGAGTTAGAGAACACAACACAGACATCAAAGATGGTAGCTATAGGAAGACCAGTCCTATAGTGTGCTGAGTACCCCTAAACACCATAGTTTTCAAAGGGCATTGGGGATTGTCTGTTCCTTGCAAGGGCAGGCCTTTGAAGAGCATATTCTGTTGCTATTTATAACCCAATGGAAATGTATCTGATTATATGCTTTAAAAGTTGGGCATGGTGTTTTATGAAAGTTCCCATTTTATTTTTACTTCATTGAGTGAATGGTGGCCTTTTAAACCCATTATCTGAGATTGGCACTTGAAAGCAATGTAATGGCTACAGAAACATTACTGCCCTCTTTTAATAAAGATATCTATAAATGTCATTAGCTGTTCTTTAATAAATTAAGGTTTACTCCTGTAACTGGTATTTCTCATCTTATTTTACTAGTTCAGTCACACATTCCAAGAAGTTGGATACATAGGGTGACCAGGTGACACTGGGCTGTGCCCCAGAAGCATCCAGCAGATCCAGCTCCTAGGCGGGGGTGGGGAGGAGGGGCCCACGGGGCTCCATGCGCTGGCTCTGCATGGGAGCTGGGGGGTAGTGCCTCCAGGCGAGAGAAGCATGTGCTACGGAGACTCCTGCCCCCCACCACCTAGGAGCTGGACCTGCTGGCCACTTCCAGGGCACAGTACAGTGCCCCAGGACAGACAGGAAGCCTGCTTTAGCCCCCCACCCCACTGTGCCATTGACCACGAGCCACTGGAGGTAAGCCCACATCTCAACCCCAAGCCCCAGCCCTGAGCCCCCCCAAACTCGGGCTCCCTCCTGCACCCTAAACCCCTCAGCCCCAGCCCAGAGCCCACACCCCAACCTGCAGCCCCCTCCCCTATTCCGAATCCTTCGGCTCCAGCCTGGAGCCCCCCCTGCACACCAAACCCCTCATCCCCAGCCAGAGCCCGCACCCCCTCCCCCAGCCCAGAGCCCCCTTCCTGCACCCCTCATTTCTGGCCCCACCCCAGAGCCCACACCCCCAGTTAGAGCCCTTACCCTCTCCCATACCCCAGCTCCCTGCCCCAGCCCAGTGAAAGTGAGGGTGGGGGAGAGTGAGCCACTGAGGGAGGGGGAATGTAGTGTGTGTGGGAGGGGCTAGGGTGTTCAGTTTTGTGCCAATAGAAAGTTGGCAGTGCTAGGGATACATGTTAACAGTCCTGTATTTGGGGAATACATTTGTTACACCAATAAATGCAGACGTAACCAGTTGTAACAGTAGAGTGATAGGCAATCAGAATGCAGCTATTCAGTACAAGGAGAGAATATATGCCTTGTACTTTAGCCTCATTTTTAAAACATTTTCCTGTTTATGAATAAACTGGTTTTTAATTGAAGCAAATAGTCAGCAATCTAATTTGGTTGAAAGATTCCATTGGAAAAATATATACACTTACGTCAGGTACTCTGGCTGGAAATTAATGCTTGTTGATACAATACGCTTCTTTTTAGGCTTATAAAGCAAGGAAACAAGACTTTGTTAGAGCTTTTCTAACATCTTTGCTGTTATGTATTGTTATGCATGGGTCTCAGAACAGATTGTGATCCTGCATTTGCTTAACATCTCATGTAATAATAATAAGGCTGAAGAGGGTAAGTCTTGTACCAAGATGTCCTGTGTTACAACATGACTGTTACACAGCAATCCATATATTAAAAGCTATAGCTTTATTATAGCTATTTCAGGGGAGGGACGTTGCATAGTATGGAGGAGTCTATGCAAGTTCATTGCTTGGTTTGCTCTTTGGCTTCTGGGTGTTGGTTATCTGGCAGAGCCCAATCACCTCCACCCCTCCTTCCATGTCTCTCACCTGTGGAACAAGGGTATCTATTGGATTTGTGGGAAGGGAAAACAAGCTCCCCTCTACTTCTTCCATACTTGCTTCCTCCAGCCAGATCATTAACATTAAAAAGAAAAAGAAAAAAAAACAGACCAATGAGAGAGGTATTCTGGTGGCAATTTTATATACACTCCCACAAAGACCAGCCTTTCTATTCAGAGGGCATCCACACAGAACTGCAAATACTACTAGCCGGAGGTGCTTCCTAGTATAAGTTTTTATAATGATAAAAGATTACATTAATAGATCTGCCACTGGCAAAATTGTGTGAAATGGCCCTAGTCATTTTTCTCAACACTTGCCTTAATTTTGCGTGCAGTATCTTGAACGGCCAGATGAGGGCACTGGCTACACAGTATTTATCAGTAAGACAGGCTGTAGCAGCCACCGAAAGAGAGAGGGTTGAAACAAATTGCATGCTTTTATTTAAATTCCTGATGCCTCCCTCCTGTATATGCTTAAAAAAATTATAAAGCAAAATTGTTTCCATCAGATTAATGTCAGGACAGTAAAGGCCCTTCTACACGAAAGAACTAAATCATTTACAGATTGTTACAACTAAGCATTTAGCTACCTATCAGCAGATTATTGGCTGCTGGCCTAGGGTGACTTGACTATCACAGAAATGTGGAGGAGGGGGAAGGAAGCCAGAGAATGTAGTAGTACCTAAAACACAGGTGTATTGGTACTTATTTTTACCAGAGTTTAACACTCGTTTTACTTTTGGTCCCAGATTCCAAAAGTGCTGCATGTTCCATGTTTCTCAAGTGCAATTAAGACCTTCTCCCCCAGCATTCAAGTTTTTAAAGGGAGGCAGGCCCATACTGTACCCAAACTTTCCTTGGTACAGTACCTTCCTTTCCAAGGGTCTGTCATTCTTCAGTATTCTCTTCCACTCTGCTCCAAGGCTCTGCTGTAACCTTCCTGGGCTACTTATCAGGCTCCACACATCCAGCTTTAATGAAGCCATCCTTCAGGAAGCAAACAATATACACGTGCTCCCAAGCTGGGTCTACCTTGTATAAGCCACAGACCCCTCCCATTCCCAGCAGCCTCTGAGAGGATTATGGTTGATTGGATCCAGCTGGAACACCTACAGCTACCAGGTTTTGTTCTGTCCATGTGACAGTTCACTCTGTCAAACGAAACTAAAATATTTTTTAGCAGCTAGAAACCTCAAAAAGTCAAATGTGACTTATATACACATCTCAATTAAGACTGTGTTGTCATATTTGAAAATAAAGGTCTGAAAAGTTACAGTTTTGAAAATTAGATACAACTGTTTGCAGTATGGGATTTACAGTAAATATAAATCTATATATAAGGGTGCAGAATTCTAGATATATCCATAGCTGTGTAAGGAATAAGCCATTTATGTGTTCAAATTAGGGATGTCAAGAAATAAAAAAATTAATTGTGAGTAATCGTGCAATAAAAAAATTAATGATTAATTGCACAATTAATCACACTGTTAAACAATAATAGAATACCATTTATTTAAATATGTTTGGATGTTTTCTACATCTTCAAATATTGAATTCAATTACAACACAGAATACAAAATATACAGTGCTCACTTTATATTTATTTTTGATTACAAATATTTGCACTGTAAAAAACAAGAAATAGTATTTTTCAGTTCACCTAATAAAGCACTGTAGTGCAATCTCTATATCATGAAAGTTGAACTTACAAACATAGAATTATGTACAAAAAAATAACTGCATGCAAAAACAAAACAATGTAAAACTTTAGAGCCTACAAGTCCACTCAGTCCTACTTCTTGTTCATCCAATCGCTTAGACAAACAAGTTTGTTTACATTTGCACGAGATAATGCTGCCCTCTTCTTGTTTACAATGTCACCTGAAAGTAAGAACAGGTGTTCACATGGCACTATTGCAACCAATATCGCAAGATATTTATGTGCCAGACGCGCTAAAGATTCATATGTACCTTCATGCTTCAACCACCGTTCCAGAGGACATGCATCCATGCTGATGACGGGTTCTGCTTGATAACAATCCAAAGCTGTGCAGACTGATGCACGTTCATTTTCATCATGTGAGTCAGATGCCACCAGCAGAAGGTTGATTTTTTTGTTGTTGTTGGTTCGGGTTCTGTAGTTTCTGCATCCAAGTGTTGCTCTTTTACGACTATTGAAACCATGCTTCACACCTCGTCCTTCTCAGATTTTGGAAGGCAATTCAGATTCTTAAAACTTGGTTTGAGTGCTGTAGCTATCTTTAGAAATCTCACATTGATACCTTCTTTGTATTTTGTCAGATCTGTAGTGAAAGTATTCTTAAAATTAACATGTGCTGGGTCATAATCCAAGACTGCTATAATATGAAATATATGGCAGAATATGGGTAAAACAGAGCAGGAGACATACAATTCTCCCCCAAGTAGTTCAGTCACTAATTTAATTAACACATTTTTTTTAACAAGCATCATCATCATGGAAGAATGTCCTCTGGAATGGTGGCCAAAGCATGCAGGGGCATACAAGTGTTTAGCATATCTGGCACATAAATACCTTGTAATGCTGGCTAAAAAATTGCCATGTGAATGTCTGTTCTCACTTCCAGGTGACGTTGTAAATAAGAAGCAGGCAGCATTATCTCCCATAAATGTAAACAAACTTATTTCTCTAAGCGTGGCTGAACAAGGAGTAGGACTGAGTGGACTTGTAGGTGCTAAAGTTTTACATTGCTTTGTTTTTGAGTTCAGTTATGTAACAAAAAAATCTACATTTGTAAATTGCACTTTCACGATAAAGAGATTGCACTACAGTACTTGGATGAGGTGAACTGAAAAATACTATTAATTTTGTTTATCATTTTTACAGTGCAAATATTTGTAATAAAAATAATAATATAAAGGGAGCACTATACACTGTGTATTCTGTGTTGTAATTGAAATCAATATATTTAAAAATGTAGAAAAAGATCCAAAAACATTTAATACATTTCAATTGGTATTCTACTGTTTAACAGTGCAATTAAAACTGCAATTAATCACAATTAATTGACAGCCCTAGTGCAAATATCTTGTGACCCAGATCTCAAAGGTATTAAGCTCTTAACTTCCAGTAATTGCAGTGGGAGTTAGGCACCAAAATGCCTTTGAGGACCTGGGCCAGTGAGCATCTTTGTTCTGAATTCCCAGTTGCTCCCACAGACTAAAACTTTTGAGATCAGGTGTCCACCTTCCTGTGGTAGGAAATCCAAAGAGCTAATTCAGAACTTAATATAACTACATTAGAGCTCAAACCTTTGTTTTCCCATTACATAGTTTCATGGCTTCTCTCGCTTAGGCGCAGGGAACGTAAGGGCACTAATGCACGTTCCAACCACAGAATATAATATTGGTGATTCTATCTGGATCATTTTGTTGTCTGTGGTTTGCAGGTTATTTCAAGACCTGGTTCCACTTAAATGCCAGAGATGAAGAGTGAAGTGTGTCCTTGTTCTACATGACTTCTGTCATTGATGCCAGCCTCTCCTCTATTGACTATTTCAGGAAA